CCCAGGCTGTCGCTCTGATGAACACTTAACCAACGACAGTATGATTAGACAATAACCCTCAGAGCAATACCTGTAAATATACCTTGAACAGATTATACAGGTCTCTAGTTCTTAACTACTCTGTTTTATCTCTATTTATCTAATTTCAATGAACATTCCTTTGTTGTCTGCATTGTTTACTGCCTGTTTATACTGCTTATTCTGCATTGTTTGCACTGTTTGTTGATGTTAATACTGCTATTTTGTTACATTACACAGCCTTATGCTGGTTTACTGTTTGCACATTGAGAGCCGATGTACCTGAGTCAAATTCCTTGTGTGTCCATCACACCTGACCAATAAACTGATTCTGATTCTTTACATGTAGGACTTATAACTGACTACTTCTACACTGTGGTATTGCTACTTCAACTTCAGAGTACCTCTTCCACAACTGACCACATGAATTCATTAACTACAGTCTAATTAACAACATGATGCCACGAAATTTGTTTCAACTACAAAAACGGAATAAGAGTGTCCATAAGAGTGGCGCCTGAAGGTTGCAGTGTCGCACACCACGGATGGTGTACTCTGAACAAATTTGACATTTTCTGCTGATGGTGGCGCCACACACGCTTCTCTTACACCTCCAGCCCCCAAAATGTAATTTAAGTGATCCAGGAGTTTACCATGCCTCAAATCCCTAAAGCCGGCAAAACACCTGATGCATTTGTTTTAATCCCAGACTGTATTGTGGCCCTACAGTACGTGTTATGACGGAACCAGGGAAGGCATCTGAAGATACTCAAACAGTATCCGCTGAGTCCACAGCTGGGCTCTCAGCAGCAGGTCACCTTGCTCCTGTCGGGCGTTGTGTCTGGGCTGCAGGCTGCCGTGGTGGTCAGTCTTTTGCTTCATATCATCACCCAATCAGAGCTGAGAGACACTCTGCTGGGCAGGACCCCTGACTGCCCCCTTATCAGGCCGAGCAGCCCCTCCACCAACCTGCGGCTCACCGCCCAGTCACACTTCACACGGCTCCACTAATAGAAAAAGAAAATTGCCGGGAGAATCCAGCACAGACTGGCACGAGTCTGAATCCTGTGATATAATGAAGCCTCTAACACTGGAACCAAGTTAATAAACACCGATGGAATTACTGACCAGCTCATCCTGACTGGAGATGCAAGGTCAGCATTCCTCAGCTGCTTGACACAACAGGCCAGATGTAGACACACACACACACACTCCTACTCAATCCAAATTTACAAGCTCCCCAGTAAAATAGAAGGTATTTAACATTTAGTCCACCTTCACCAGCTGCAGCATTACAGTGATGAACACAATAATACACTAGTGTGAGATGTTCCATTCTACAAAACGACTTCTTTTACTCTTGGTAAAGTATTTTATGCTAATACTTGTTTACTTTTGACCTGAAGTGGACGTCCAACATCAGAACCATCATCAAGAAGGCACAGCAGAGGATGTACTTCCTGCTCCAGCTCAAGAAGTTTGACCTGCCCCAGGAGCTGCTGATACAGTTCTACAGAGGAATCATCGAGTCTGTTCTCTGCACCTCCATCACTGTCTGGTTTGGCTCAGCAACCAAACAGGACAAGTACAGACTTCAGAGGACAGTGAGGACTGGAGAAAAGGTCATTGGTGTGAGCCTGTCCTCCATGGAGGACCTGTACACCTCATGGGTCAAAAGGAGGGTGGAGAGGATCACTGCAGACCCCTCACATCCTGGATACAATCTGTTTGAACTCCTCCCCTCTGGACGGGTTATAGGTCACTGTGCACTAAGACAACCAGTCACAGGGACGGTTTCTTCCCCCAGGCTGTCGCTCTGATGGACACTTAACCAACGACAGTATGATTAGACAATAACCCTCAGAGCAATACCTGTAAATATACCTTGAACAGATTATACAGGTCTCTAGTTCTTAACTACTCTGTTTTATCTCTATTTATCTAATTTCAATGAACATTCCTTTGTTGTCTGCATTGTTTACTGCCTGTTTATACTGCTTATTCTGCATTGTTTGCACTGTTTGTTGATGTTAATACTGCTATTTTGTTACATTACACAGCCTTATGCTGGTTTACTGTTTGCACATTGAGAGCCGATGTACCTGAGTCTAATTCCTCGTGTGTCCATCACACCTGGCCAATAAACTGATTCTTTTACATGTAGGACTTATAACTGAGTACTTCTACACTGTGGTATTGCTACTTCAACTTCAGAGTACCTCTTCCACAACTGACCACATGAATTCATTAACTACAGTCTAATTAACAACATGATGCCACGAAATTTGTTTCAACTACAAAAACGGAATAAGAGTGTCCATAAGAGTGGCGCCTGAAGGTTGCAGTGTCGCACACCACGGATGGTGTACTCTGAACAAATTTGACATTTTCTGCTGATGGTGGCGCCACACACGCTTCTCTTTCACCTCCAGCCCCCAAAATGTAATTTAAGTGATCCAGGAGTTTACCATGCCTCAAATCCCTAAAGCCGGCAAAACACCTGATGCATTTGTTTTAATCCCAGACTGTATTGTGGCCCTACAGTACGTGTTATGACGGAACCAGGGAAGGCATCTGAAGATACTCAAACAGTATCCGCTGAGTCCACAGCTGGGCTCTCAGCAGCAGGTCACCTTGCTCCTGTCGGGCGTTGTGTCTGGGCTGCAGGCTGCCGTGGTGGTCAGTCTTTTGCTTCATATCATCACCCAATCAGAGCTGAGAGACACTCTGCTGGGCAGGACCCCTGACTGCCCCCTTATCAGGCCGAGCAGCCCCTCCACCAACCTGCGGCTCACCGCCCAGTCACACTTCACACGGCTCCACTAATAGAAAAAGAAAATTGCTGGGAGAATCCAGCACAGACTGGCACGAGTCTGAATCCTGTGATATAATGAAGCCTCTAACACTGGAACCAAGTTAATAAACACCGATGGAATTACTGACCAGCTCATCCTGACTGGAGATGCAAGGTCAGCATTCCTCAGCTGCTTGACACAACAGGCCAGATGTAGACACACACACACACACACTAACAGTGGAAAGCATACCAAGACCTGAGGGTGAGTACGCTGCCATGAAAACTTTAAAGTGCTCCAATGAACAAAACTGTCCTTACACCATCAATTGGTGGATCTCATTCACCGACTGACCAGAGCCAGGGCTACCTGCAGAGAGGTACAGGGAGGGAGGGAGGGAGTGTGTGTGTGTGTGTGTGTGTATTTGAGCTTCTGTGACAGTAACATTAACCTACATTGCAGGAAATATTAGATAGTTAAGGTTTTCGAGCAGAGAAGAGCTGAAGGAACGAGCACCGTGTAATAAATCAGAGTAAGGTCAGCAGACTGCCCATGTGACGGCACAGCACCTGGATTAGCTGCTGTAAGCCTGTTAAAGTGGCTCAGACTGGGTGGGCCAGCACACAATGGCGCAGGGTGGCCAGTTTGTAACTGGGAGGTCACAGCTGTTCTGCTGGAGTGTCCTTGAGCATGAGTGTCACTGTGGAATCATTATGGATCCAGACACCAAGTGGAAAACAACTCGGCCACAAATATACTGATGTCTTTCAAGGGCGGACTCCAGGTCGGTTCACATGCACGTTGTCCCTGGGTATGAGACCTGGGGCGTTCACATTATAGCAGAGCAGTTAGGTTGTTATTCGCCCTGTGTAATTTTAAAAATGGCCCAGCTTTATGAAAGTAGCTAAGGTTTGTGCAAGTTAGACTTTTATTTGAGCTGCCAAGCGATGCAAGTTACATTTAAGCTAAACGAAACCTATGGGCTCATCACTATGCTACATGTTCTTTTCAACAACAGGTGTTGCAAGCAAACATCTTAACGAGCCTGATATCGTCTTAGTAACCAGTCGTTAATGCGATGGATGACGTCTTTTACCACCACTATCTTAGCACTTACTTGGCAAAATAAAATTGCAATGACACAAAAGGTTTGTGCCCTGCAAGTTGAGATAGGTGTAGTATTTATGCCCCTTAGCCTTCTGGCATAGGAAAGGGCAAACAAATACAAGCAATCAATGCTTTTTGTGGCTTTAATTGAGCAGATTAGAAACAGTGGACAGTATCAGTTGCTCAGACAAAGGTTCTACTGTGGAGCGTCCCAGTCCGCTGCCTGCTCACTTCCTCTCATTCTCCTGAGGCTCCATGTAGCCATCCGGGGGCACAAGCGGGCTGAAGCGCAGCAGTGGCAGGTCCACGGCCGGATAGTGCTCCTTCCTGTGAGTCCAGCTGCCTCTGGGGCCCCGGGTGGGCGGAGGAGGGGGAGGCAGGTGGGAGTCAGCAGGGCAGGAGTAGTCATGATCATGATGGTGGTCGTTGTTGTTGAGGTCAGGAGGAGAGATGCTGCTGCTGCTGCTGTGGCAGCGAAACAGGAAAGACCTGGTACATCACGCCGGCCACCACCAGCAGCATCAGGATGAGGGTGCTGAGCAGGAAGAAGAGCACGTAGACGCCTCTAGTCTCGGCCGAGAGGCCTGAGCTGCAGCCTGCAAGCAAACAGGAAGTCAGCAGCTGGTCACCTCTGGACTTAAAACTAAAACAGATCCAGTCAGACCATGGATACCTGCAGCTTTCAAGTCCACGCACACAGTTCCTCCAGATCCCAGGCGGGACTCATCCTGGAAGCCCGGTCTGCAGTGGCAAGAATACGAACCAAAGTGGTTCACACAGTCTGCATTAATGTCGCACAGCACCAGCTGGGTCCCACACTCATTTACATCTGAAACAAGTCAGGAGAGAGAGAGAGGGAGGGAGGGAGGTGGCTGAGAAGACTCTTTTTTTAGTGCATTTTCTAATAGGTCATGTTTAGTGAGACCATGTTAGCCTCCACTAAGGATGTTCTCTATTTGTCCACAGAGTCTCTCAAAGCTATTCAGCAGATTTTATTGAAATTGGGTGGAAAGTTTGTTGCACATCAACATCCATCCTTTGTCTACACCGCTTATTCCTGAATAGGGTCGCAGGGGATCTGAAGCCACTCCCAGTTGACACTGGGCGAGAGGCGGGGGCCCCTCTGGGGGTCCACTCTGGACATGTCGCCAGTCTATCACAGGGCTGACATGTAGACAAACCACCACACACACACACACACACACACACACTCCTACGCAGCATGTATGTGGACTGTGGGAGGAAGCTGGAGCACCCAGAGCAAACCCCGAACATGTAAACTGCATACAGCTCAAACCCAGAACCTTCTTGCTGTGAGGCGACAGCGTGCACGTTAAAAACAAAAGCAAACCGATTCACGGTGCACACAGCGTTACTCTGTGCAGCAGAGACTTTTTCCTTGGAGTGTTTTGACCCCGATTCATTGAACAGAGCCCACTTTGAAAAAGGTGGCGGGGGGCATGTAGCATCCACCCACTGTGATGTGATGATCCTCTGCTGTACCTGCAGTCGACATCGAGATGATGACCGCCGTCTCGTGGCTCTCCCTGAAGCTGACCCTCATGGCAATGAGTCCCTGCAGGGCCGAGTGCACGGCCCTGTGGCCCTGCAGACCTCCAGGGCTCTGTTTGATCTGCAGCCAGAGGATGTACAGCACTCCTGCATTCAACCTGCACACACAGCCAGCATGTGTCACTCATAGCTGAGCTCTCATGTCCACAGCTCCATCTCTGAGACAAAGGGGTGCACACTGTCTTCTAATGATACAGTTACACGATCCTGAAGAAGCTAGAAAAGAACCTTGAGTAAGATTGGTTATGTCAAGCTATTTTGATGAGAGTTCTGTTTTTTGCACTTTCAAACCGTTTAGCCTGGGTAATGCTTTAAAGAAAAAGACTAAATATGTTTTAATTGTTCTTTTCTCATCTTTTGTTAAAGGGACTGAGATGCAAGGAAAGGATGTGAGTGAAGGAAACAAGTAATAAAGATAATTCAAGTGAAAGTAAAATATTCAGGGAAAGAAAAAGGTGGGACAACAGTTGTACAGCCTTGGATTTGGTCTTCCTCCACTGTGCGCTCCCTGTATTTCATGGTTAAGCTGCCGTGTACCAACCTTTTGATTCTTTTCGAGGACATGGACAGTGGAGAGTGCAGAGCCTCCAGCTGCTTGCTGATCTGCAGAAACACCCGTGGTCTGATGAGTCATGCTGGCCTTCACACCCTTCCTAAAAGTCCACCCAAACAGTCTGCACATGCACCCGTAATGTCTTTACTTTGTTTTCATCCACATACCAAAGTCTTCACTGACAGCAGCAGCGACCTGGCCTGGTCGTCCCAGGACTCCAAGTCCTGAGGGAAAGTCACCTCCACAGCCACTTCAAACAGCTGATCTGTTAGAGGGCAGAAACGCCGACTGTGAGGGCAAAGCACGAGCTCAGCTCAGGCCGCTGTCGAGGAAATAACCTCCGCAGCATAAAACACAATACACAGGACAAATGAAGAGAAAATACCTTAAGATCAAAGCATTCAACTAATTTCTTATCTCTTACAGATTTGCATCTAGTTTTGACAGTTAAGCAAAATATGAATTGAATTGCTGATGTGATCAAAAGTAACACGGATGCTAAAAAAAAGTGTTTTAGTCCAGTACTCACCCCCAGGAAGATGTGGAACTGCTGAGTGATTCCTAACATTGGCTACAAGAGAGGAACACAAAGGGAGTCAACAACTTAAAGACAAACATGACCTGGATGTGAAAGGATACTGTCAGAGACCAATCAGGTCTGAGCAGCTGCAGGTCAGACAGAACCCCAGACAGCATCCAGTGCACGTCACTGCCCTGATCAGTCTAAAGTAGCACGAAAATTATTCCATTTTGATTGTTTCACAGTGGTGAGTTTCACAGCACTAACACGGTCACACCTCCACACAACCCTGCAGAAGGATTTTAGGTGCCTTCTTTGCTCCGCCCCTTGTGTAGCTAAGTCCCACCCTCAGTCAGACTCAGCTGAAACCAGATGCACACAGCAGCTAGATTACAGATGTGTTTTTAAAAAGGAACAAGGAACAGAGCCATAAGATCCGGCCCCATTCACAAAGCCACTATTCCCATCATCCATTGCAGCCACCGACAGAGACTGACCTCAGGGAACCAGAACTTCTGTTGAAAAGCTGGAAAACATCTCTCTGAGCACAGTGACAGCTACGTGTACTCACAGTTCCCTCTGTGGTCCGACAATGGCTCCACCATGTCGGGGCGAAGATGAATCTGCTCCTCTGGTTCCAGTCCTGCAGAGAAGGATGGATTCTGGTCTGAGGCCTCACTGACCTCAGTCCACTTCTCATCTTCTGCAGCTTGTTCTGGACCACCAGCAGGCGTCTCTTCTTCTCCCCAGCTCTGGGTGTTCATCTCCACCTCGGGAACAGCAGCTTCCTCTGGAAGGACTGAAGCCTCCTTCACATCCCTTCGTACCGCGGTCGGGGTGCGTTGGAGCTCGTGGTTCTGAGATGCAGGATAAACGGCTGGGACAGACCGGCTTTGGGGACTGTGATTGAAACCCCTTCCCAGCTGGGAGGTCTCTGAGGTGGACACTGGCACATCTGTGACATGGTTGTAGCTCTCTGAGGCCTGACGGTGGTTTTCACCCACCTGAGTGAAGACGTGAGATTTTAAAATCGTTATTAGCAGATGAAAACAAACTGCTGTTGAGGCCAAAATGACACAGTATGATGTGATTTATTACTGAACAAACAAGTCAGTGATGCAGAAACAAGGGCTGCAGCATTATATAGTGCAAGCACTAACCACTGCACAGTTACTGTCTGGTTTAATTCCTCAGATCACATCGGCCTCGTTTCTAACAAGCCCTAAATAAACACTCATCTCCAGCTGCTGCTTGCAACAAGGTGAAGAGAGCACAGAGAGCGAACCACAGCTGAGGTTGAACCAAAACATTGAGCTAGAAGCTGCTAAACAACCACAGGGTCGATGGTTCACAGCGGTTTCCCAACAACAACTCTGTCACTGTCAGCAACGTTTCTCATCCAGTCAAAACCAACCTGTGTTTTCAGATAAATACTGGTTCATGAGTGCAGCTTAAACACTTATCAGTCACATGGCTTGGATGCTAGAGCAGAGCTTTAGCACCTCTTTAGTTTAGAGTCTGGTTCAGACTCCAGTGTTTGCATCTGCCCACCTCAGTGTGCGAGTCCAGCACCTCCCAGGGCAGCTCAGGGATCTGAGCTGAAGGCTGGTCAAAGTAATCGTACATCAGATTAGAATCATCTGGCGAGGACTCCACCTGTTCACTGTTTATCTCTGGTCCAACCTCACTGAGGTCCATCAGTCCAGCAGATGGCTCTGACTGCCCATGTCCATCTAAAAGGCCTCCTGGTGGGTTGTAAACCACCAGTGGTCCAAACGCCTGGTAGTGGCCGTCGAAGCCCC